TATATATATATATATATATATATATATTAAAAAAAAAAAAGATACTTGCTTAATAAAAGCTTTTTTTTTTGTCATATGTAATTCTTAAAATTCTGTACATTGTAAAAGTTACTGTAGTTTCAAAGTACCTCTTGTTTAAGTTCAAAACTGTTTAAAACTAGGCCATCACATAAAGCATGTTAATAAGTTGTTCTTCAAACAGATGGTACTGTGTTAAAAAACATGATATCCAAGAAAAATGAACAATACATTGTATTAGACATAATTCAGAAAGACCACTCAAACGTTTTGAAAATAATTGTATTTTAATCATTTTTGTAGATAATCTAACATTTTAAAACTCTGACAGTCTCCGGTTGTACAAATCCTCTCACCAAAAAACTCGTGAACAGTTTTTTTTTCTTCAACCAACCCAACTAAATAATTTTATAATGTTAGAATGTCAGAAACTCAACCAGTTTCATTTAATCTTTTATCCAGTCGAGCAGTTTAGGAGTGAAGTAGGTGATGATGACGTCAGCACCTACAAAAACAAATCATAAACAAAAAATCTTTTTCAATTATTCAAACTACAGTTCAATTGAGAAATTTAAAATAAAACTCATCAAAGATTAATTGTTTAAAGATTAATTAATCGTTTTTCATTTGAGCACATTGCAAACGCTAATACAGCATGTCACCACCGTTGTTCATCACAGAGATCAACATTTAAAGATCTCACTCTGTGAATATCCTTCCAGTCATCAGTTTCCAAGTGTCAGCATCGTAGTGTCAAATGGTGGGAATTTGACTAGAACCAAATATGTAGATGATAAATATGTTTTTTTAGAGACAAAGGAGGGAAAAAAAATCACACAATAGTGTGTATAGGATTGCAATAACACCACATCTCAGGCCAGTCTAAAGTAATGTCCTTCTCACCAAATGGCCACTACAGTAAAGCTGGTCATTCCTTACAGTACCATCAGAAAGACAATATATAGGGTTATGAACAGGCCAGTCTAAAGTAATGTCCTTCTCACCAAATGGCCACTACAGTAAAGCTGGTCATTCCTTACAGTACCATTAACAAGACAATATATAGGGTTATGAACAGACCAGTCTAAAGTAATGTCCTTCTCACCAAATGGCCACTACAGTAAAGCTGGTCATTCCTTACAGTACCATCAGAAAGACAATATACAGGGTTATGAACAGGCCAGTCTAAAGTAATGTCCTTCTCACCAAATAGCCACTATAGTAAAGCTGGTCATTCCTTACAGTACCATTAACAGGACAATATATAGGGTTATGAACAGGCCAGTCTAAAGTAATGTCCTTCTCACCAAATGGCCACTACAGTAAAGCTGGTCATTCTTTACAGTACCATCAACAAGACAATATATAGGGATTTTTAAGGCCCACTAGACAAAGTTTCACAAGATGCAAGTCACACTTAGGAATTAATGGCTACTTTTCTGATAAAAAATAGATAAATAACGATCATATTCATTTAGATGTACGTCAACTCCTTATACGTCAGTTCCTCAACTGGGATTCTGTGCACTTAATCTGTTTCAGTGTGGTCTTGAAAGCCACAAACACTGGAATGTCTGTCAAGATGTTATTACAATACAAGATGCAGTAGTGAGCAACAGTGCATCACAACAAAGAAATAATTCCAAGGTGTAGCCCAGGATTAATTTTCTATAAAGTGTACTTAACCTCAGTATTTGTATATATATATATATAATTACAAAACTAAATTCCTACTATTTAATCACATATATAATTATAGTCCTTGATCTGTGTAGTACTATAAACAAGTATTCTAAACTTGTAGTGATAAATGGAAAGAATTAGTACAAAGATAAATATTAACGTTTTTATTAAATGCTATAATTCAACAAATTCTATATCAATAACATTGTTTTATTGTAAACAATGTAAAGACATATAAAAATTCTGTGTTAAAAAGTTACAATATCAATAACATTGTTTTATAGTAAACAATGTAATGACTTGTGAAACTTCTGTGTTAAATAGTTACAATATCAATAATATTGTTTTACGGTAAACAGCGTAATGACATGTAAAACTTCCATGTTAACATTAAATATACCTGCTCTTTTCATTGCTGTCAAACTTTCTAAAAGAACAGCTTTCAGCTGAAAGGCTCCAGCTTTACTGCCATGATACAGCATGGCATACTCTCCCGATACCTGGTAAACCACCAGGGGGAACTCTGGAAACTGTAATGATAAACGCTTGCTATACAACTGAAATTCAGGGAATGTCACTTGAGTAGAAAAAGAAACTTTAATATGAAACTGAAAGAGGACAGAAGTGATCCATTCATTGTCTTAATCCACTGATCCATAATATACTAGTCTAATAATTCAAGTTTAGGTTTACAACTGTTTATACACTTTTATTTTATGAATAAGTTGTTGTAATATATTACTTAATCCACGTTCTCAATTATAATGGAACCTATAGTGTAGCATTACTTACCAATACCAGTATAAACAGAAAGAACTGAACCATACATATCTGTAATGTAGCATTACTTACCAATACCTGTATAAACAGAAAGAACTGAACCATACATATCTGTAGTGTAGCATTACTTACCAATACCTGTATAAACAGAAAGAAGTGAGCCATACATATCTGTAGTGAGGCATTAGTTACCAATACCAGTATAAACAGAAAGAACTGAACCATACATATCTGTAGTGAGGCATTAGTTACCAATACCAGTATAAACAGAAAGAACTGAACCATACATATGTGTAGTGTAGCATTACTTACCAATACCAGTATAAACAGAAAGAACTGAACCATACACATCTGTAATGTGAACCTATGTATATATACAATATTATGAATAATAGAACAATGTATAGAAAATCCCATAAATTTTTTTTCTACCCATGAAATATTATCACTAGTATTTATCTGTCAATGAAAAATTAGATTTATCATAACTTTAACATTACCTGGTTTTTAGTTTGCCTCACAATATCTAAATATGGCAGACCAGGCTTCACCATCAACATGTCGGCACCCTCTTGAACATCTCTTTTCTGGGTTAGAACATGTTTAAAATAAAAAGTCAATAACATTAAAAATAAACATTATACATTCAGAAGAAATTTATGCTAGATCATGGAACTCAAAGCAGAAACGTTTCTCCAGAAGTATAAACTGACAATAACAACTAGAGGCCAATAATATTAAAATAGTCCAGACCATTACCATAAACCAGGATATAGACTACTTTACAACAAGTTTACGCATACATTTGAATAATTCAAAGCCTGTTATGGCTTAAATCAGGTTCTGCATAGAAATTGTGAAATACGCACACACACACACACACATATATTACATGTAAAAGGTCTTTGGTACCAATAACAGCAAGAAAACATAATAACAGAAAAAAAAAAAACTCACAGTAGATACTTATTTCACATATGCATAGTGCTGCCATCTGTTGGATAAATAATGGGACTGATATTAAATAAAGTTGTACAGATGCTATAACTTAATGGTTTTAAATGCACTATCCGACGACGTAATGTGAAAGATTTATAATTTTATCCCTGCTAATAATAGATAATGTCAAATAACATTAGATGCTAGATGCCTTTAAATCAGTCAGACATTCGTAATGCCTATTGGACCTCACACCCATCAACATAGTTAATTTTACTCAGATATCCTCCTGCACTTCCTAAACATACTTTTATCTAAATATTATCCAACAACTTCTAAACATACTTTAACAACTCTTAAAGATCCTTTTAACTATCATCTTAAAACTAAGTATCCTCTTATACTTATAAAATATATTTTATCTAAATATTATCCAACAACTTCTAAACATATATTAACCTAATGAGGTTTACCGTCAGAGATTTCATAAGACTAAATGTAGTGTAAGGGTTGAGAGATTTATTTCATTTGAAAATTAATTGGATGTATTATTCTATAAAATAATAGTTGTCGAAATTAGAAACGAAAACCATGCTCTCTGATAAAAAGAAAATTGCTGTATAAACTTTCGATATATACGTCATAAAGTAAGTCGGCAAGTCTTCAAGCTCAAATGTACAGCTCTTATACTACGTGCAATCAATTTGAATAGAATACAAATGTCACAAAATAAACAATACTGCTGCACGAAGGGCAAGACCAGAACTTCCAGGAGGCAACTGGTAACATCGACGATCACCAAAGAGAGGAGCCGAGTTAGCAGCATCTCTGCGATAAAAAAAAACTAAAAACTTTTCAAACAGTAAAGACTCGTATATGTTAAAACCACGTGATTGTAAAGTTTACGCAACACAACCTTTTGAACAACGTTACTTAACAATGAACTAACTATTCACTGTTTGAATAATCATTTACAAAACAAGAAAGTATTCTGTAAATTTCTGTTGCTAACTCCAACTCTAGATAATATAAAAGCAGCTTAAAGTAAAGGTTAACCAATAATTTATCAGCTCATAATTCTATATTGAAATAATGTACAAAAAGTTTAATTACTAGTAAAGTAATGGCTGACCAATCAGATTTGAAACAGCTTTCAGTAATGCAAAGTATTAAGTAAATGACCACGAGTGTTCACTAAACGTTAGTACAGAAAGGAGACATCAAAAGTCAGTTAGCTGAGCCTTAACACCATTTGTAACGCTTGTGACGACTAACCAGTCACTAAACGTTAGTACAGAATAGAGACATCAAAAGTCAGTTAGCTGAGCCTTAACACATGTGTGACACTTGTGATGACTAACCAGTCACTAAACGTTAGTACAGAATAGAGACATCAAAAGTCAGT